GCGCAAAACGGTTCTCAGCTGTCTACACTAGCCCTCTTGCGCAAAAGCATTTGCGCAAGAGGGCTTTTGCCCGAATGGGAGAGTCATTGTATTTGCCAAAGAATGCTTTGGTGAAGCAGAACACAGCAAGAGGGGAGAGGGCAGCGGGGCGGAGCGGAGCAGGTTGCATAATTGCTCTGGCTCTCACCGCCATAGTGAGTGTGGGGGTGGGGCAAACCCTGCTATCTCCCCACGCCAGGCTCCCCTGTAATTCCCCAGCTTGCATTGCTCAGAGGAGTGGGCAGAGCAGGGATGAGTCTGAGCAGGGGCAGGAAGGGATGGGGTGGAGGCAGAACAGGGGCGGGACATGCACAAGGGGGGGGTTCCCTGGGCCATGGCCTGTGGCACTGGGAGGACGGTAGCCCCAGGCCTCACACCCCTTTAGCAATGGCCCTCATTCTGAATGATCAGTCCATGGACCAGTGCTAAGATTTCCCTGATACAGTTTAGGAAGGCAGCAAGCCAGTCCCTGGTATCAAAAATGTTGAGAAACACTCTGCTAGCTAGAGGACTACAGCAGACACAGAAATACAGAGCTGTAAGCGATGTGGAACAGTTGTCCATTATTACCCCTTGATATGTCTCAATGGACTTGATGAAGTTAAAATCTTTGGGTATGTCCACACTGCATGCTTATTTCGAAATAAGATATTCTGGAATAGATATTCCAAAATAGTTTATTTCAAAATGCACTGCAGGGAAGCTTCAAAATTAGTCCGAGATAGCATGTCTACATTAGGGAAGCCTATCTCGATTTAGAGCCCCAGGAGGCACTGGGGAGGAATAAATTAGAATGGCCCTGGTAAAGGGCTATTTCAAAATAGCAGCAGTGGACTGTCTACACACGCCTTATTGTAAAATAGCTATTTTGGAATAGGCATTATTCCTTGTAGAATGAGGTTTACAGAATTCAGAATAAGCTGTCCGCTATTTCAAAATTATTTTGAAATAATGGAATGGCTGTGCAGATGCTTACATTGTTATTTTGAAATAATGCTAGTTATCTCGAAATGACGGTGCAGTGTAGATACACCCATAGAGTGGTTCTATTGGTCCTACTTACTTTCCACAGAAAAGATAATATTACCTCATGGTCAACTGTGTCAAAAGTTGCAGATAGATCTAGCATAATCAGACTTGATATTAGTTGACTGTTTAACAGGCTTAAGGAGATCCTTCCCTAGTCTTTCTAGTGCTGTCTATATGCCACACAGTGGCCCAAAGCCCAACTAGGAAGGATTAGGATAATGGTGAAAGTCTAAGACAAATGTTGCTGGAACTAGTGTATTACTATATTTTCAACACTCTGAAAAAGATCAAAGAAATTCTTGGGGCCCATTAATGTTTATCTGAGTATCATTTATGACAGATGCAGCTTCTTTTTTAATCCATGACTATTTTAATTCTTCTTTTCATATACTAGTAGCCGTATTTGCTACTTTTTATTTCTCCCTTCCCATCAATAGGATCTTACCTTCAGTTTATATTATTGGATTTCCCATTCTGCTATGTTTCTCTTTCAAAGAGCACTCTCCGTAGAAAGATTAAAAAGCAACTAAAAACACATCATCATGCAATAAACATGATAAACCAAGCTGAGTAAAGCTAAGCCAATTGCACATTCAGAGCGGGAAATAAAATATGCAGTAGATTATGAAGAATGAGAACAAAGATGTCAGTATGACAAATGCAGTGAGAAGAGCAAATACGCATATTCAAAACAACTTACAAGAAAACCAAATATGCACTAAATATAATCAAAAAGGAAATGTGAGGCTGTAGCCATTCACACTTATTGAAAACACGAGTTAAATCAATAATATGAGCAAAATGCAGTTTAAAAAGTTACATAGCGTTTTTTAATCTCCATGAAACATCTTTCAGAATTTTCTTCCTCTCATTTACAATCAATGTGCTTTTAAAAAGTTATTACACTCAGTTTCCCTGATCAAATCAATACTTACCTTGAAGTTTGTTTTAATCTTTTCTTTACTGAGGTAATGTACATTTCTGCCAGAGTAACTGGAAGAATAAAGTTGTATTACACAAAAAATGCTATAATATATTTTATGCCTGCAATTCAGAGGAGTAAAAACTGTACACAGAAAATAAGCAATGGTTAATACAGTTTAAAGATCACTGTATCCAATACACTGATAGATAGATAGATAGATAGATAGATAGATAGATAGATAGATAGATAGATAGATAGGGAGCAACAGACATTTTAAAGGTGAACTGTTATAATAAAGATATCAAATGAGTAACAAAGTTCATTTTCAAAGAAGTTTAATTATAGTTTGTATAATTTTATATCCACTGCTGATTTGAAATCTTAATTTTTTTTGTAAATCTTATGAAGAATTGTCACTTGACTCCTTACTCCACTGGCTAGTCAGTAGAGCCATGCACAGAAGCAGTTATTTAACCTATGTGAGAGAGAGGCAAGCGGACAGAACATTAGCACCACATACTCATATCCTACTGTGACTGACTGAAGACACAGCAGAGACTACTGTCTATATACAGACAACTCTCAGATCTACCTCTCCACTATCTCCTCCTGGCCAACTGAAAATCTCGGCCTATCTCCCTGATAAGCACATAAGAATGGCCATACTGAGTCAGACCAAAGTTCATTTAGCCCAGTATCCTGTTTTCTGACAGTGGCCAATGGCAGGTGCCCTACAGGTAATGAACAGAACAGGTTTTCATCAAGTGATCCCAGTCCTGTCATCCATTTCCAGCCTCTGACAAACAGAGGTTAGGGACACCATTCCTACCCATCCAGGCTAATAAGTATTGATGGACCTATCCTCCATGAATTTATCTAGTTCTTTTATTTTCTGTTAAAGTCCTGGTCTTCACAACATCCTTTGGCAAGGAGTTCCACAGGTTGACTGTGCGCTGCATGAGGAAAAACTTCCTTTTGTTTGTTTTAAACTTCCTACCTATTAATTTCATTTGGTGATCCTTAGTTCTTATGTTATGGGAACAAGTAAATAACTTTTCCTTATTCACTTTCTCCATACTTGTCATGGTATCTCCTCATTGATCAACTCAAGCTCAGCATGGATAAAGCAGAGCATTTAATCTTTCCCCACACTCCAACCCCTCTACCTCCCACAGCAAACAACAGTATTTCTCATGCTCATACCCCAGGTACCATTTTCAACTTGGACCTCTCTATAGATGTCATCCCTGGGTGGAGGGTAAGGTTGCCAACCTTCTACTTTTACAAAAATTAACACACTTGCCCCTTCCCGTGTCCTGCCCCTCCTCCAAGGCCCCATCCATGCCCCTCCCTCTTCCCCAAGGGCCTACTCCCTGCTTACTCCATCCCCCTCCCTCTGTTGCTCTCCCCACCCTCCAACTCAGAGTACAAGATGTGAGATGAGGATGAGGTGTTTGGGGTGTAGGAGTGAGCTCTGGGCTGAGATTTAAGTATTTGGTGGGCAGGAGGGGGATCAGGTCTGAGGCTGGAGGGTTGGGTAGGGAACAGGGACAGGGGGGCAGGTTCCAGGTGGCACTTACCCCAAGCAGCTCTCAAAAGCAGCAGCATGTCCCCCCTCTGGCTCCAAGGCAGAATTGCACACTGCCCCATATTATTGCACACTATTCCCATAGCTCCCATTGACTGAACTTTCCAGCCAATGGGAGCCACAGAGTCAGCACTTGGGGTAGGGGCAGCATGTGGAGCTCTCTGGCTGCCCCTATGCTTAGGAGCAAGAGGACAGGGGGACATACTGCTGCTTATGAGAGCCACACGGAGCCAAGACAGTCAGGGAGTGTCCTAGCCCAGCTGCACAGCCAACCGGACTTTTAATAGCCCAGTCAACAATGCTGACTGGAGCCACCAGGGTAAGATTATGAGCAGAAGTTCCTGTAGAAAACAGGACACTTGCCAACCTTAGCAGATGGGGGTTCACCAATAGCTCTGTACTGCCAGGACCAAGCATCAATAATTTATTGTTGATTGCCTACAAGCAGCCCATGACTTTTACTAAACATATTCCTGACAAAATATTAACCTTACCTCCTGGATCATGATACCCCTTTCTTTGCATCCCTCCTTTTCTTTACCTGCATCAAACATAAATTACTTGTCTTCATTTCCAGTGCTCTTCACAGCCTATCCCCATGCAACTATTTCTCAATCCTTATTGAGATACTGGTTCCACCTCCGATTGACCAATAATGCCAGCTTCCATTTCTCACTTGTTAAATATGCAAACAAGCACTTCAGGCTTTTCCCCACGCTGCCCCTCCTACTTGAGAAGCGCTCCTTGTAAACATCCTCACACCTAGCTCATTATCTTCCTTCATATTACTCTGTAAAACACTCCTACTGCAAAAACTGTGATATTGGTTAGACTGCTGGTGTGCAAAGATCACAACCTACCATGCTGACTAATACTGTCTGATGGTTTCCTTGTACTCCCTTGTTTTCCGTTAAAAGCATTTTCAGAAAAGAGCATCTAGATTGGCACTAACGCTTTTCTGCAAAAGCACTTTTTGCGGAAAAGCGTCCGTGGCCAATCTAGACGCTGTTTTGCGCAAAAAAAAACCAATCGTTATTTTCGCGATCAGGGCTTTTTTGCGCAAAACACATCTGAGTTGTCTACACTGGCCCTTTTGCACAAAAGTTTTGCGCAAAAGGGACTTTTGCCCGAATGGGAGCTGCATAGTATTTCCGCAAAAAGCACTGATTTCTTACAGTAGGAAGTCAGTGCTTTTGCAGAAATTCAAGCAGCCAGTGTAGACAGCTGGCAAGTTTTTCCGGAAAAGCGGCTGATTTTCCGGAAAAACTGGCCAGTCTAGACACAGCCTTTGAGTTTCCAAAAGTCAAAGCAAATTCAACAGAACTGTGTTCAACTTCTGCAGACTTTCGAGCATTAACTCAACAATGAATTGTGGGAATGAACATGATGATACCACTGCTAAATTTTTTATTGTTTCAGGAGGTGGAGGACAGTGAAAAAAAATGCACTTCTTGGCATCATCCCAGCAACACTCAGCATGCACACCATTGATCAACAAGGAGTATGAAGACAATGAATGCAGTGATTGGGAAGCATGCAGAATTCCCATGCTGTTGCCATCAACTAGGTAACACTTTTATAATAAAGTGGCTGAAAAACCTAAGACGGGGAAATATTTGGCAACAAAAGAGTAAATATAGGGGAGACTGGAGGAGAGGTCGGGTTTACAGGATCTCAGGGGAGGAAATTGCCATGTTATACCATGGATTTTTTGGAGGGTAGGGAAGGAAGTTACTTGGTTGATGCTACTGGTGGTCAATTTGGATTGTATTTTTAATCATCTGTCACATGTGCTTGGCTGGTGGGAAGAGCAAACACTTATGTTTTATATGTCGAAATGGAATTAAATACACGAAGGAAAGAGGGGTGATAGCTGGCACATTTGCAGGATATGTATGCTGTTACAGTCTGATCGCCCTGCAGCAATGAACTTTTCCAGAGGGGACCCATAATGGAGTTGCTTTCTCATTTGAGATTCAGAATGCAGAAAGCTACATCCTCTGTCACAGGGACCCATCCAAGTTTTGCAAGGAAGCAGCAGTGAATCATTCTGACTATTTTTAAACTTGAGAAAGCAACTCTCATATTTTGTATTTTCTACATTGCACTTGAAAGAAACTCTGTAATTTTGGAAGACAGAAAAAAAAGAGAAATTTTCCACTGGCAAATCCTGTATGTGCCTTGCTACTGGCTCCAGTGAATGATAAAGAGATATTGGAAACGGGGAGCTGGATAATCCTGTTTCACTCCACCTTCAATACCTAAGCCCTGTTTCACTCCACCTTCAATAATTATGCTCTGATTAAATTATACCAGCATAATTTAAAAGAAAGGTGGCATAGTTCCTATACATAGCAAAAAAACACTCTGCCAGCTGGTGAAAAATTACTTCTGTAATGTGATGTGATGTCATCAGAGAATCAAAGGCTTCTATTTCCCTAAAGCAAAATGTCTTACACCGAGCTCTCACATCATTTTAATCAGTGGGGTTGGGGTATGCAAATGAGGTAAAGTGAAATGTAGTTCAAGAAAAAGCCTCTTGCCAAGGGGTGGAAAGGCTCAAACACAACAAATGCCTCAGTTAGGAAATGTAAACTCCTAGAAGATTGAAACTGAGAGTGGCAAATGAGTACCTTATATTCCGGTTTTAATCTTTAATTATAGGATGGATTTCTAATGAGGGGGAACATTTCTGGATAAAATTGTGTTTGGGAGGAAACACTCCCAGTAATTACTGACTCTTTCACTTTGGTGACAGCAGTTCCAAAACTGCTTGAGAAAATACCACCGTCATGTTTGGGCTTTGTTTGTATGGAATAAAACAATACTTTATATTTGCTTCAATTTGCAATTTAATGGAAATGTCAGAGTACATGCATTAGCCTTTCTACCATTTAAATGACATTACAATGCCTGTTAGGAACAAGACCAAATTGTAGAAAGTGAGCTCTTATACAGCACCTAGAACAATGGTACTGCAATCCTGACTGTAGCAGCACAAACAATTAATAATGTACACAAATCAACATAAGCAAGCCATAGAAGCAGTGATTGTGGTTGAGAAAAGAGAGAGAGAGAGAGAGAGAGCGAGGACAAACACATACGAGAACACAAAGTTGTAGAAAAATGTTTTATAGGACTCAGTGGCAATGGAAGGTCCCTGAAAGTGTGGGGGGACACTGGCATCCAAACTGTAGCTTCATCCCCTGCACCACCCCTTCCCCAAGACTCTGACCTCAAACTGCCCATTCCTCTCCATCAAGTCCCTGCCCCCCAATTATTCCTCTCTACCCCTGTCCCTCCCATTGCTCACCTTTATGGCCAATAAAAAGTGGGAGGACTTAGCCCTCCCTTTTAAAAATGATGGGCCATGGCCTCCAGATCCAGCTTGTTCCAGTGCCTCTAGTAGAACTAAGTCAAACCAGAACAAACTCTCATCTCTTTCTCTTTCGAGATAATTATTACCACCAGTGGAGCTGAACATTTCTTACACTCTCTGATTACACAGACCAAGCCACTAGAAGGAACAAGAAAATGATTTTTGGGTTAAGAATGTTTTTCCTTTATGAGTTATACCGCTTAAAACTCTCACATGAAAGGAAGTTGAATATACCTTTTTAATACTATCTATAAAACTACAATCAAAAACCTCTCAGTTAAAAGGACATTATTACAATTGCAAAGACAAGCACTTCAAAGTTAGGTTTTCCAGAATTAAGGTTGCCTGTGTAACCTTAACTTGGTCCTCTTGTGTGTATGCATTATGATCCAGACTTTAATTTCATGATTGCATGTAACCTTAATAATATTATTTTAATGTGGTTTTGTGCATGCAGTTTCTTTGTTTTTTTAACAAAGAAAATTGAAATAATTAGAATTGTCATCATATGACATCAAACTGACACCCTCGCCGGTGATTACCAAGTTGGAATCTATTGATCCACCACACAGATGTCTGTCACTCGAACTCACAGAATAATTGATGGCAATAGCAGCTTGTCATCATCTAGGCTGAATAGCATTAGCAGGGGATGGGTTTCACAGGTATTTGTTGATAGAGGAATAATGAGACTCAGAAATCTTAGGCTCTGGAGGGGTGTGTGCTCTTTTGTCCATTCCTTTCCCCAAGTATGTCTCCTTCTTGCCCCTCTCCATAGCAATCCTGTCTCTGCTCCACCTACCCCAATCTCCTCATCTAGCCAGTTCATTTCCATTCCTCAGGTTTTCCTGTCTCAGTCTCTTTGCTCTGCAGTCTTAGTCTCAATCGCCTCCAAACCCCCTCACCCTAGTCCCACTTCACTTTTCCCAAGGAGATTGGGGACAAAGAGTTGGTTTCCATTCCCCAGCCCCAACTCTTTGTCCCCAATCTCCTTGCCCAACCCATCTCAGTTCCCCTCCTTCCTAGCTCTTTAGCCAGTATGGCCTCAGCCTTGGCCTTCAGTCATCCCACCCACATTCCCCATCCCCACCAGCTCCCAGTTCTAATTTCCCACCCCAGCTCCCTATTCAGTCTCAGTATTGTTGTCTCCCAAACTCCAGTTCCTTGTCCTACTCCCTTTGCCCAGCCAGTCCCAGTTCTCTCCCCACATCATGGCTCCTTCTAGGACGTTTCTCCTCCCTCCTCAACTCCTTCTCTCCACACCACTGACTCTCATTCCCAGCCATCCTTTGACACCTCACTCAGCCTTAGTCACTCCCTACCTATAGGTTCCCTGTCTCCTGATCCAGCAAGTCCCAATATCCTCCCCAAGCTCCAGTTCTATGTGACTTGTCCCAATTTACTCCTATACTTCCCCCCCTTGCATGTTAAATTCTTCTCCCTTCCGTATTTGATTTATGCAGATTCCTTCTCCATGCTTCCTGGGCCCAAATGGGCAGGGGGGTGTTCACTGTAAGCCCAGGACAGAGAGAAGCTCTTGTTCTCAGTCACATGTTCAGACCTGTCTCCACTCGAGGCCCACCATGGCTCACAGCAGCCCCAAGCTACAGGATGTCATGCTTAGTCAATGCAATGTTCAGTGTGGACACAGTCTAACTTAGCTGTTAAAATATAAGCAGCCTCTACTAAGCATGTGCAAACTGAGATTTACCAAAGGTTTGTAACATGGCCACATTTGCGCTGATTTTCAAGAGGATGGTAAAAGGCATCTCTCTGATGCAAAGGCCACCACCCTGCCACATTTCAAATGCCTGCTCCAAAACATGGGAGCACTCGCTTTTGCCAGAAATTGTAATGTGGCCAAAACAATGTACAATATGTTTCCTAGCCTCATTCTTGCAATCAGACAGTGCTTAATTTGTGACAGGGCTTGCAAAGCCTGAGGCCAGCCCCTCTAGGCCTGGTAAATCATAACTCCAGCACCTCTGGGCTTGCTGCATTAGTTATGAATGTAAAAAAAATTGCTTGAGCTACTCACTTGAGCCCCGGCACGTCTTTCATTAGAAATTAAGCCTTGTAAACAGCTGAACAGTTTGCAAACACAGTTTGCAAACAAACTTCGGCAAGGAACAGTTCAAAACAAGTTTAGCAAAGTTATGGACAACTGAAAATGGGGTTTCATAAGAGAAAGCATTGGGCAACCTTCCTAATGGGAAGTGCTAATAGATCTGGTTACAGGCCATCCTCGCTATAAGTCCAAGATACATTCCAAAACAACTTAAAGCAGGAAATTTTTCCCCCCACAGCTGACTTACATTTGCGCAAATTGGGTTTTTTTTTGTGTGCGCGACTTAAGAGCAGGGAATGGGAGGACTTACAACACATCAGTTCCTACAAGCGACAATGACTTTAGTGTGGGATGGATGTATACCGGGGCAACTTATAGCAGGGATGTCCTGTATAAGCACAGTTGCAAATTTCAAGCAGAAACTGATAAAAAGCAAACGCCAACTAGAATATCGGCAATGAAAAACTAGCAAAATATTGTGGGGGTCAACTTTATGCAAAACATTGACATATACAGGGCATATCAAGGACGTTAAAAAAGAATGGATGGTCTGGTGCTTAAAGGGATTTCTTGAGACCCAAGAAATCTGGGTTTCGTTCTAGCTCTGCCACAGATGCCCTATGGCCTGGTTTATACTAGCCCAGGTAGGACGGCTTAGAGTACACAACTCCAGCTACACAAAATATATAGTGTCCACACAGCGGGAGCCCAACGGGAGCCCACGCTCCCATTGGCTTCTCTTACTCCTCACAGAAGGAGGAGTACTGAACACTGCGCGGGCTGCCCTTAGCATTCTATTTAGGGGTCTATACTGGACTCACTAAATCAAATGCTAGAAGATCTACCGCTGGAGCGTCAATCATGAGTATAGACATGCCCTGTGTGACCTTAAACAAGTCACTTGATCTTTCTCTGCCTTAGTTTCTTCATCTAGTAAATGAGGATAATAATTCCTTCTATTTCCCAAACTTTGTTTAGTCTGTCTATTTGGACTGTAAATTCTTTTGGGGATAGTGACTAATTCTTACTATGTGTGTGTCCAACACCTAGCACAAAGGGGCTCTATCATGACTGGATTATCTAAATAAATAATAATAATAAATAAATATTTTACATTAAAATATTCCAGATCCACAGGTCACTTGATTTGCTCTTGCAACAAGGAGGACAGCTCACAATGGAGGAAATGGACAAATAAAACTAGCCAGAAATTGAAAAACAAAATGGCTATTGTTCATCGTAGACCAGGACAAAACACGCACCTTTAGGGGAACAGCTCATAAAGAATTTGATAATAAAAACTGACACTTTTGGCTATAAAATCTGGATTTCAAAACTTCATATAAAAAGCAGAATGGTTCAATTAATTTGACTGCAAAAAAGAAATCTCAGTATGCTGTATCCATATTTAGACTTTTCTCTCTCAAATTCCCTTTGCAACTCCACCAGTGGTACTAATAGCAAAACCGCTGGCATGACTGCTGGCATTTTAGCTACTGTGCTGTCTAATCTTGCACAGAACAGGTCTAGGTGATGCTGTTCATCTGTTCATGCTGTTCAAAATGTCATCTGCCTCGGGTGTGTCTTTTTTATACTTTTGCCATTGCCGGTGGCAAACGTGAGAAGAAAAAAGTCTCAAATAGACATAACCAATAGACATCTAGATTTCACTATGAGCAATCGACACCAAAACCGTTCTGTTGATTGCCTATTGTATACTGACCTTTGTTTTATCCTCCTCTGCTGTTGTAATTGTGAAAGATTCAGCCTACTGTCATTGTCATCTGCCAATGAGATACGTAGATGAGATATTACAACTACACCTGTACCTGTCTTTAATCTTACATCTTTCTCCTTTGAGCTTTTTAATTAGCTAATTAAGAAAGCTGGATCTGCGCCCTGACAGAGTTTCTCTACTTCTTTCTGTACTTTGCTAGGGGCCTGGGAAAGAATTTACTATATATTTCATTTTGTATAGCAATGCCTAATAAAGAGGTACAGTAACTATAGGTTGGATCTCCCTGGTCCAGCACCCTCGGGGCCTGAGGGGTCCCAAACCAGGGAGTTTACCGGACCAGAGGAGGTCAATGCTCCGGTCAATGCTCCTTTGCTGGCTGCCTCACTCCCCAGCTTCTCTCCCTGGAGCTCCCAAGGTTGGGGCTTCCACCCTGCTGCCTGCTCGCTGCTGCCAGAGTTCCCCAGGATTCCAGCTGGGACTGCCTGGCTGCTGCTGACCCCACTGCCACTGAGGGTTCCCCGGGTTCCCTGGCCAAGGCTCCCCTGCCGCCACCAGGCCCTGCTCCCACTGGAGGTTCCCTTGCTGGGGCCATGCGGCCATCCCAGTCCCGCTGCTACTGGGGATTCCCGTTTCCCCCGCTGGGGCTCCTGGGCTGCCTGGCCCCACTGCCACTGGGGGTTCCCTATCTGGGGCAGGGGCTCCCCATTCACTGCCTGGCTCTGCTGATTCCAGGGGTTCCCCGGTGGGGTTGGGGCTTCCCACCCTTGAAATCTACTGATACCAGGGATTCCCTAGCGTGGCCAGGGCTCCGTTGCCTGGCCTAGCTGATACAGCGTTCTCATTGCTGGCTCCTGCTCCTGGCCTCCCAAGCTTCTTGGTCCAGCAATATCTGTGATCGGGTGCCGGACCAGAGAGTCAAAACAAATCTGCACTGTCTACACTGGCCCTTTTGCCTGAATGGGAGCAGCATAGTATTTCCGCAAGAAGCACTGATTTGGAAATTCAAATCCCAGGCTTCATTTGCAAGTGCGGTATGCCTACATTACCCTCCTAGTTCGAACTAGAGGGGTAGTGTAGACATACCCTGGGAGTGGTTAATTCACTTGAACATTTAAATAAATGCTCCTTACTCCTCTGAAATCCTTTCCCTTTATTCACCATAGCTGCGTCTAGACTGGCATGATTTTCCGCAAATGTTTTTAATGGAAAAGTTTTCCATTAAAAGCATTTGCGGAAAAGAGCGTCTAGATTGGCACGGATGCTTTTGCGCAAAAGCACTTTTTGCGGAAAAGCGTCCATGTCAATCTAGACGCGCTTTTGCGCAAAAAAAGCCCCGATCGCCATTTTTGCAATCAGGGCTTTTTTGTGCAAAACAAATCTGCACTGTCTACACTGGCCCTTTTGCCTGAATGGGAGCAGCATAGTATTTCCGCAAGAAGCACTGATTTCAGACAGTAGGAAGTCAGTGTTCTTGCGGAAATTCAAGTGGCCAGTGTAGACAGCTGGCAAGTTTTTCCGCAAAAGCAGCTGCAAGTTTACAAGCCTCCCAATCACATCTTACATAAGAAGCAAGTGTACTATTCCCTTAAACTGCAAATTCATAGCTTTTTAAGGTTGCTGGTGAATTAGATTCCAGAGTATACAATTTAGAGGCAAGAGAAGGCTCTTACTTCTGGTAAAGAAGTTGGTTGTGGGAGAAAACATCAGTAGAATGACTGCTGATTTGAGAGCAAAACAGTACTTGCATGTTGTAACTCAATAAAGATACTTTATCAAGCTTTGGTTGTAATGCAGCTTTGTGGGACTAGATTAGAAATGTCCTCAAGAGAGCGTAAAGTAATCTAGTTGGGGTAAGCAGCATGTCTGGACAATCTCAAGGAAGAAGCTGTAATATAACATAGCCTACAGCTCTATTGCTTTTCTTGGGGAAGCTACTGCTAGTTAAAAGGTCATTCCACAGAAATAAAATATTATCTCCAGAGTCTCTAAATAGATGCCAGGGTGATTTCAGTGAAAGCCATAAATTCCCAGGTTGTTGCTCAGGAACTGGACAACGCAGTGGAAGGCCGATCAGGTGAGCTCCATGACTGCCCCTAGACACACCCGGGGGAAGGTGGTCGGTGGCAAGGGCTGCATGCTACTCTCTCAGCCTTCTTGGCCTGGGCATTGCGCAACAGCCTGTGCACGTGGGTGCATGTGGAGCACCAGTCCAGAGCACTCAGCCCCAGGAGGCTGCCATAGAGGACCCTTGTGCTCCTGCTCACAGGCCTGCCTTAGAACCGACCCCGTGGTGGGACACCCTCCCACCGTAAGCCACCACTAAGGAGGCTGGGATCCCGAACACACGCACATACAGCAGTGCCACACAGGGCACGTGGTCAAGCCTGCAGTCTCAGGACAGCATCTGCTCCTGGGCAAGCACCGTGAGGTGGAGGACACCGAGCCCCTGCTAGGGGAGCCTACTGGGAGGAGAAGGAAGTGGAGGGGACCCCAGCAACACCCCGCCTGGCAAACGGCATCTACTGCTCACACACACGTTCCCCAACACCCTACCCCACCTCCTCCAACAGGCAGGGGTATAAGTCCTCTCCCTGCAGGATGCCGCCACTGCCAGTCCCGGTGTGTGTGTGGCACAGAGGGAAGCCAAGCCACCCCGTCGCCCCCCTCTCGCTTGCAGGCTCCCAGTCCGGCCGGCACCTTCCCATGCCTGCTTGTCCCTAGGACTTGGGGGCAGCGAGGCTTCCCCTGAGGACATCTCTGCCCCTACAGGAAAGGGCACGCTGTCTAGGCCACCGATGGCCTTGCCTCAAGCACATCGTCTTCGTCTGACCCGAGACCTTTCCGTGTCACCTCAGAGATGAGGGTAGGTTTCAGGCACCCTGTCTCCCAGGATGACTGCCCTTCTCTTTGATCCTCACAGCTGGAGAAGCTGCAAGTGAGATGCCTGCATCACCTCCCGCACCAGCCTCCCAACCCCATGGGAGCTGCCACCGCAGACATGCCTATGAGGACTTGGAGCAGGAGCACATTGCCGTCCTTCATGCCCTGCAGCAGTCTCTGGAGGCGGACATGGAGATGCGCCGCACCCTCTGGCAGGAGCTCTTGCAGCAGGCCCAGAGTCCGGACCATGTGTGTGGCTTACACCTCTGCCGTTGACTACCTGATGGCCACTCCTGCCCCAGCTCCTGCCCCACCAGCTTCTTCCCTAGCCCTACCCCTATGGCTGCTGAAGGCCCTCCACATGAGGCAGTGGGACCACCTGAGGAAGGCACCACTCCCAGCCCGATCCCTGACCTCTCCTCCCCCTTTTCCTCTTCCTTCCTCCTCCTCCCTCCTCTCAGATTCCTTCCCCAGTTACATTTCCTCCTAATTAAGCAAAAAATACAGTTTGTTTAAAAAAACAAAAGGTCTGTTTTATTGTATCAATATGGGAAGGGAAGGGAAGGGAAGGGAAGGGAAGGGAAGGGAGGAGAAAGGAGGGGTGTGGGAGGAAAGCCACAGAGGAGCAATCATTGTGGGAAGGCCCAGGGCAGAGTATCCCTGGGGTCCTTGAGTGAAACTCTCCTTCAGAGCTTCTCAGATGCACTTCCCTTATCCTTGTGAAATGAGGGTTACCATAATTCAGAGTAAGAAGTCCTCCAGCTGGACATTATTTTGAAATAAAGGCTTGTAGTGTAGATGCACTCTTTGTTATTTCAGAATAACATCAGTTATTCCGAAATAACGCTGCTGTGTAGACTTACCCTAAGAGAGCACTGCAAGGCAGACATCTCACTGACGAGTCATTCTTCCACAGTTTGGTTGCTTTATTATTTTCTGGTGCAGCTGGTGGGAAGATGTTTTCTGCTGAGTGAAATTAACTGGTGCATTTCCATACTTAGTAGAAGCAAGGAGCTACAAGGAATTCCTGAGGAGTAACTTCCCTATGCAATGTATGAGATTTTTCATCTCCTAAATAGTCATTTAATTATCATTCTGATACCAATTTTAAAAATTAACCCTCCCTGGAATACTTATAGCCCTGCAGCTCTGAAATCTTACTACCTCTTTCCAGAGCAACTTCATTCATTCTCCCCTGGGGGAGAATTTTACCATTGCCCTGGAAACATGGGAATGCCTTGGGACAGAGAAGTACAGGCCACCACAGATGTCCTAAGGGAGTGTTAGCCACCACTCCCTGATGGATACCTGGCACAACCACCACCTAGACCCCACCACCTTCATGTATGTTGATGTGGAGGACACTACACAACCCCCATATCTGTATGCAGGTGGCGGAGTCCCCCATAGCATACATGAAGATGGTCCTGGCTGATTCCACTATACTTGGAGACCTCCTGGACTATGATCAGAGAGTGTGAATCCAGTGATGCCTCTGGTGGGCCAGTCTAAACTCTGATGCCTGGTTCCATAGCAACAAGGAATATCAGGTGGCGGCTCTTCCCTGGAGCTGTGAGCAGAGATGTGCACCTGGCACATTTCACAAGCTCCCCAATACTTGTTCTTTCTGCTTTGAGAGGGAGACCCTGGTTCACATCTACCAAAGTTGAAGCCCCCTTGTCCAGCACTTTTCTCTGAACCTCCTGATCCTTGCATACCCTATCATGGCTTTGCAAAGTTACAGACATCCTTGTCAAACTCCTGGCACTGGCCAAGATGGCCATCCATCACACTAGAAATATGAAGCTGGATAGAGGGTACTTTGTGACTCTGGGGTCTATTTCCAGTCCCCTGTCCACTTACATCTCCAGACAGAGTTCCTTTGGGAAGCATCCACGGACTCTTTAGATTTCTTGAAGGAGAAGTGGGTGCTGTCTAGGGCTCTCTGCTTAGTATTCACTCCTGGTTCCCTGATTTTTACCTTTGATTTAATTCCTATTTCTGTTATCCCCTGTAACCAACTGCCAACTGGATTCTGACCATAGTAGTTCCTTCCCCTTTATTGGGGGGAGAGCCTTTAATTATGGAAAGGTCTAGACCTGTGTTGTTCAACACACTAGCCACCTGTGGCTATTTGGCTGGTTGAGTGTGGCTATAATATGGCTAGTTTGCTATAGCATTTTCAGAATAAAGTACCTAGTTCACTATAGCAGTAGCCACTATAAGGGTGTGTCTTTACAGCAAAGTAATTTTGGAATAACTGCCATTATTCCGAAATAACTATGCAAGTGTCTATACAGCAATTCCGTTATTTTGAAATAATTTTGAAATAACGGATGGCTTATTCTGACTTCTGTAAACCTCATACTATGAAGAATAATGCCTATTCCAAAATAGCTATTTTGAAATAAGGCTTGTGTAAATGCTCCACTGCTGCTATTTCAAAATAGCTGCTCACCAGGGACATTGAATACTGTGTACAGATGTGGTCTCCTCACCACAAAAAAGATATTTTGGCCTTGGGAAGGGTTCAGAAAAGGGCAACTAAAATGATTAGGGGTTTGGAACAGGTCCCATATGAAGAGAGGTTAAAATGACTGGGACTTTTTAGTTTAGAAAAGAGAAGACTGAGGGGGGATATTATAGAGGTCTATAAAATCATGAGTGGTGCGGAGAGGGCGAATAAAGAAACGCTATTCATTAGTTTCCATAATAGAAGAACTAGAGGACACCAAATAAAGTTAATGGGTAGCAGGTTTAAAACTAATAAAAGAAAGTTCTTCTTCATACAGCATGTAGTCAACCTGTGGAACTCCTTGCCAGAGGAGGCTGTGAAGGCTAAGACTATACCAGAGTTTAAAGAGAAGCTAGATAATTTCATAGAGGTTAGGTCCATAAAAGGCTATTAGCCAGGGGATAGAAATGGTGTCTCTGGCCTCTGTTTGTCAGAGGCTGGAGAAGAGGATGGCAGGAGACAAATCGCTTGATCATTGTCTTCGGTCCACCCTCTGTGGGGCACCTGGTGCTGGCCACTGTTGGCAGACAGGATAGTGAGCTAGATGGACCTTTGGTCTGACCTAGTACGGCCGTTCTTATGTTCTTATTCTAAGTTATTCCTCCTGGGACTCTAAATCAAGCTAGCATGTCTACATTAGAGGAGCCTGCCTCGGACTAATTTTGAGGCTTCCCTGAAGTGTAGACATTCTATTTCGAAATAAGCTATTTCAGAATAACTATTCCAGAATAGCTTATTTCAAAATGAGTGCTGTGTAGATGTAGCCAGAGTGGCTACTGCTTCAGATCTGGTTGGACACCACACATCTAGACCCACTTGTCCCAGTATTTCAAACAATACACACTTGATTTCATTTCATGAGCCCCACGATGATATATGGGGGGAAGGGACTATCTAGTCCTCATGAGGACAAATAGCAAATGAGCAGTGGGCCCTGGAAAGTCAGGGATGGTAAGTAAAGAGTAGAGCACATGTGCAGGGTCAGGTTAAGGCAATCTGCGGTTGTAGACACAAAATAACATGGGGTCCTGGTTGGTTTCACTCACACAGCCCAGCCCCTAATCTCATGGCTCTAACTCAGAGAGGAAGTGGTAGTTGACCCATCCCTTCCAAAAGAGGCAAAGGAAACAGCATAGGGCTCCCTTTTTCCCCCTCACCAGAAACCTAAGCAAGGGCACTGTCTCATTTTCTGACAATGTAGGGTGACAGCCAGCAGCCATCCTACTACTTAGCCAAGCGTCCAGGGCACATCTGCTTATGCAGGTGAGCTGAATCCACTCTACTTTTCTCCTTCTACACACAGACTGGCTGGCTGGCTGTCTACACTGGGCCACTTATTCCGGAAAAGCAGCCGCTTTTCCGGAATAACTTGCCAGCTGTCTACACTGGCTGCTTGCTTTTCCGGAAAAGCAATGACGATCTACTGTAAAATTGTCAGTGTTTTTCCAGAAAAACTATGCTGCTCCCGTTCGGGCAAAAGTCCTTTTCCGGAAAAACTATTCTGGAAAAGGGCCAGTGTAGACAGCACAGTAGTCTTTTCCGCAAAAAAGCCCCGATCGCGAAAATGACGATCGGGGCTTTTTTCCAGAAAAGCGCATCTACATTGGCCATGGACGCTTTTCCGGAAAAGCATCCTGCCAATGTAGACACG